GTATATTTTCCTTTATTTTCTTTTACAGAATCCAAGTTCTCAGTAACAATATCCTCATCTGATGAATATTCTATCTCTATAACTCTTCTTCTCTTTTTACACTTCATTAATTTATTTGTCATAGTAGAATTATCTTCATCCTCCGATTCTAAGATTATTCTTTTGTTTATATTCATGGGTCTTATTTCCCCGTGTAAATTTATTTAAAATAAAATAAAATTACTATTTTCAATTGTCATAAAATAACATTGATTTACTATTTCTTCTTACCTATATCACTATCTGACGTGAATATGAAATTATCCATTGTTGGAGGAAAATAAAATAAGTAATCTAAAATAGTAACTTTTGGCACGAAAATAAAACAATATAAATAGCAAATAAAACAATTGTGAAGCCACCGGTGGCCACTAACCCCGCCACCTGTCCATGGAAATTGGACTTACACCACTTTCATAATCAATGGTTACGCAATTTCTTTTACCGGTCAATTTTAAATTGAACAAAGCATTGGCATTTTTAAGATATTAACTATTAACTAGTTATAAACAAAAAGTGTACACTAAATGAAGCATAAATTACGTCGTATCTCATTTTTTTAAAAAAAAGGACTTACACCACTTTCAAAATAAACGGTCCATATCATTTGTAACTCATTAAAATGATTCAAGACGGGAATAAATGTTTACGCAATTACTGTTTCTTACAATTGATGCACAACATTTTCATCTTGCACAAAAAAAGATCCGCAATATACTATTATAAGTACAAGTGGGATAGTATATAATACCGTCATCGGTTGCTAAATCGGTAAAGGCCTCGCAAAACGAGGTGCAAATAGACAATGTTTCGCGACGATATTCGGATCACGGACTCCAGTGCGGGAAGTGGCAACGATTACCGCAAACCTATCCAGCGAAACCACTGACCGAGGCAGCCGTGTAATTCTCGGGGGTCTCCGAGACAGAAAAACCATGCTCAACAAGTAATCGCCGAGCGGCGGTGTACCCGCAGCAGCGGCGCAACGATGTGAAACAATTGCGACGCCAGGACGATTGCCAGGCTGGAAGATGTCCAAGGGCCCGGGGCAACCTTCGTATGGTTGCGCGGTGCACGCGTTAGCGGCGTCGTTCAGCGATGGTTGCTCCGGAACCTTGATCTTGGAACGCGTCTCCGCGGGAAAAGAGACCGCGAGGAACTTAACCGTTTGAGTGCCACGTGTCTTTGCTGTTTTCCTGTCCAAAAGTGCCAAGCGGCGCAAAAGCGATTGTCTTATTTCCTCTCCAAGAATGCCAAGGAGCGCTATTGCGCTGTTTTCAGATTTATACAGTAGCTGTAATTGTTTCAATTCATTGATGTTCTGCCATCTTTCTGAACGTAAGTACAGATTTATCAGCGTCTGGGTTACGTCATATAATATAAGAATATAATTTAAATATTTTATTGCATATATAAAAGGTATGTACAGTAAAATTTTCACTATTTTTTTGTATTCTACAGTATAACTTTTTTATATTTTTATTTGATGCCCTTCAGCAATTAAATGCCTTCTAAACGTAAGACGAGCAATATAATAGAGGATTCGAATTACGATAGCGATGATAGTGAAGTTATTATTTTTAAAAGAAGAAGGATTAATGTTATCGACGATTCTGTTTCTGACAATAATATTTCTAATACTGGAGACATTTCAAAATATATCATGGTTACGGAAAATGAATACCTTGACCAAGGCAATTCATTTCAATTCATTGAAATGTCGGGACCGCGATGCCGTTTATCTAATAGAGCCAAACCGATTGAATATTTGTAAAGTCGCGCATCGACAAAAACCGAGCGTG